CATTTCAAATTAGTTACCCTGGTGTCATTTGTGCGATGTGATATTTATGTGGTTCAATCAAAAACAATTTTTCCAATGGCTCCTAATGTGATCAATATAGGTGGAAGCAACAGGTAGTTGCCCAGTATATTGGTTAATTGGCTGTTTCGATTAAGCTCACCCGGTGGTCGGTCAGATAATTTGGTTGTTGCCATAGTGATGGCTAAATAATTGCTGAAATGTTTTTGATTGACAAGAAATTTACAAAAGATAAGCCCTTAACATTTAATTTAAGATGTATTACAAAGTACGACAATGTTTTATTGCAATAGTAATTTACGAAAGCTCAGCTTATTACAAATTACGACAAGATGTTATTACAATTTACGATAGCTTGGTTATTCCAATTCTGGACCACTGTTATTACAATTTACGACAGGTAGTTCAATTCACGACGACTGTTATTACAATTTACGACAGGTATTACAATTCACGACACTATTACAATTTACGACAAAATACACGTGCATAATTATACGAAAAACAAGGGCCTCAATTCGGGGAAAATAATTACATCATTACCAAAACGTGTTCAACTTACATGCGTCATTTCAGTCATCGCCGAAAATAAACCGCATGTTCATCACAAGACTTATTTGCATACAACGAAAGTCGTTTCGATTCTTATCCCCAGTTTCCACGGTCTCCGTTAGGAACGCCTGAGAGCATACCCCCTTTTTGCGACGGACTGACGAAAAAAAAAAGGTTGCATTTTTAGAGTCTTGTTCTGCTAAAGCAAGCTCGACCGAAAAGCAGTCAATGAAACAAAATGCATAGCTAATTTTTAAACATAAATGAGTCTATTAAGCTGCGTGCGTCAAATGGACACAGTTAATAGTGACATGACGGATAAAATAATACAAATATGACGCCGTTCTTTCACTGCAAGGGGGATATCGAAGCTCCTGAGAACCCAACCCGCTCCCTTCCCAACTTTTGCTCCCGAAACCGTTGTACAACTTCAAAACCGTTCAAGCTATGATCTCCAAACTTAGCGACTTTTCCTAAAATTTATGTGGGAACATTTTAAAGTCGTCGTGAGGTGTTTGTGAACATTGAAGTTATCATGGAAACCCAGTTTTGACTGCCATGTTTTTCAAAATTTGCATTTTTTTCCGTAAAATGGTCTTATTTATATTTTTACTTATTGAAATATAGTATTACACTTAATCTAGCAATATTTTATTATAATTGTGAGTGTAATTCAGGCTTTTTATTGACTAACTTGAGAAAAAAACATGAATTTAAAATCAGAACACCAAATACCAGATACTGGTTCAATAATTAACAGTGTTAGTTTTTCTCAAATTTGATTACTTACAGACTTTTTTTCCTTTGTGCTTCCTAAGCATTCTTTTATACACAGATGGGATTGTCTATCGCGATTATCTCGATTTATACGGGTTTTTGAGTAAAATAAAATAAGAAGACAGATAGTAGAATACATTTAGTTAATTCATAGTGACGCACCCAAATGGTGGATAATTCAAGATTCTTCTGTAATTATAAATGACGCCATCATCAGATCAATGCTACTATCAAATATTATTAACGTGTTAGCCAGCTTTTTGATTTTGTCAGACACCTTAGTATTTGGTTATTTTTTGCCTTATTATTATCATTGGATTCTAACGAATGGATTTTGGAATTTAAGTATTTCGTCCTAGGATATTGATTTGGATAGTCCTAAAAATAGCATGCACTATCGCATAACGTACTCCTACAGCTAGCTGTACTAGCTGTATATACAGCTATTTCGAGAACGGTTGTCGGAAAAATGCCCGAAAGGTATTATGGGTGGTTTTGAGTTCACTGTTCTTCAAAGAGATTTGAAAGAATGGCACGAGAGGCCATGGACGTATGTTTGCGTGTGCTATAAGGAAAGCAACAAATGTAGGCTCGACAGCTACAGTGTCAGGAACAGTATGTTGATCATATCCCATGATATTACCTTTCAGTATTGTCGCGTGCACATTTTTTTGACTAATATTTTGCTTAAAGAATGTCTTAAGACCTTGCCGGTATTTTACGCTGAAAATAAATCATAACCAGGGATTAATGGCACAATATGTTTGAGCCATAAATGAAGACAACTTTTGAAATACGTACACTGAGATTTTACAAGGATGACACTTTCTTCCAAGAAAAAATCTCGAGTAGAAGTTCATGATACCTATAGGCGTCAAGAATAATACATGAGCTAAAACAAATGCAATCGTCATTGTCGTCACTTTTCCCTTCCTCCTTCATCTGAAACGTTCCCCTGGGCGCCTCTGCGATTTAAGCTCGTAAACAGAGTACAGGAAAGACCAATAGAGCGAAAGGGATCACAAAATTGACTTTATATAGTGCGAGCATCTAATATACCGAGGACGGGGATTCTCCAAAAGCATTGCTCCATTGTGTAAAACAGACTAAGTTCTTTCAACCTCGCCAACGAGTTTTACGCCAAATGTAAGTGGTGAGCAAATTACCATGGCGGAGAACCAGGTGACCAAAATAAAAAAGAACTTCTGCTATAAAAAATAAGGCTTTGAATAGAAATAACAGAGGAAACAAATGGTAACTGAAGCAACTGAGCTTACAGATGCTGACCAGCCCAAGATGACCGCTGACAGTCCATGAGTCTAAGTAGCCACACTGGCTCTTGATCATAGTAGATTACGCCTGGAAAACAAATTCTTCTCAGACAAAATAACCCAGTTGCCCTCCTAAACCTCCAACTTTATTTTATAAGGTTAATTGGGTAGCTCCGAAATTTAGTTTTATGCTATAAAGGCCGGTTATAAGTAGACGCGATACTCGGTTGCAGCCAGTTTGCACGTTGAAATTTATAAGTTGCATTCCTTTGTCTAAAAGGGAGGCCAAAATAAAAAAAAATCAAGCAGAAATAGGCGTAAAGCAGCCCAAAATTTAGTCGATAGCCGTAACAATTGTAATATTTTAACCGTTAGCCGTAAATAGGGTAAAAAGAGTTCACCGTAACTGAAAAAAATCAACCGATAGCCTTGAAAGAGCCAAAATTTTAGCCGATAACCGTAAATGCCCCCACCCCATTGAGACCCTCTATGAAGCGCGGTTTTTAAGTAAGCTTTCATACCTCGGTTTCACAATTTTGCAAGACAAATTGCACTCATTCAATAATTAGGACGATCGAAACACGCGCTTCCTTTCACAACAAAGTTTGGAATTGACCACATTACAAAACGTTTTCATAAAGAGAATTCCATAATGTTGAGACTGTTCAGTCAGACCAATCAGGGTAATAATGGGCTTTCACCTATGAGGCCAGCCAGGCGTGGGGTGGCGGGGGGCGGGGGGAGAAAAACGCGTGGTCCGTCCGTCTTTTTTGGTAGGAGACGACTTGCCAGTGAGCTTGGCTTTGCTACATGCCGCTGGGCGGCCTGTGGCAAAGCCAAGCTAAGTGGCAAGTTCGTCATTGTTATTCGAAAGGGAAAGTTAACCTAGGGTTAGTGCACAATTTGAATTTGAATATGAAAGCATAAAAAGCAAATTCGGGTTAATTCATTTGGTGTACAAATTGATGAACAGATGCTCTAGAAAGAACAGAGAAATAAATGTTTTTAAACAAAAGAAAAAGAAACTTGGATTAAAATTTAACCCCTGGTTAGCCGTCTTATTAATCCACAGCCTGCCCAAGGTCAGTGTCACCTGACATCTCGCTTGAATTCGACTGTAATATTTGCACCTGTACATGTGTTGGTTGAAAGTTGGACAGTGATATTATATGTGTGCTTAAGAACATGCAGCCCACTATATATCCTCAACAGGCGCTTCAAGTTTCACGATGTTTTTATTTGAAGTATTCCCTTCCTTTGAACTTTATCTCCGATAGACGTCACTTCGTACTTTGGCGGTCTCGGTATTTCCGACTACATAAGCCGAGCTTGTTGAAGTAACAGCGTGTGCAGTCACTGTGCGGTTGATGTATTCACCGCATCGATGAAACATTAATCTGACGGTGAGGGCCGCGATCACAAACAAGCAACGAAGAGAAATCGTACACCTAGAATTATATTTATTTCAAGACAAATTCGTGGAAATCGCTTGTTAATCCATGAAGAGCTTTACCAACGCACGTCAAAACAAGACGTACTGAAGCAAAGACTCGAAAAAAACCTTCCTCGTTAGCTTCAGTCAAAGAACATTTGCCGTAGACTGCCTTGCGATCGTACGGCTGATTAACTAATATCGTCCGCCAAAACTCCCTCTTTGACTTAACAAGATATATTTGGAATAGTAAAACAAAAATCGTAAATAGATCGATCGACATATATAGCAAAGGTACAGAAATAATATTTTTATCGGCGAAACACGTCGTTTTCCATTGTTGTTCAACTGTCGCGTCCTTGCTAGGATCACATGCGTTCTGAAGCTTGATTATCGTATGAAGCGATTCATCATGGGATACATGAAATTTCCCCCTTTGGTAAGGGGGGGCTTTCACCGTCCCGCCGTCCTTTGTGCATCGTGACTTTTCGTGAAACAATGTCTTTTATTACTGGTAATTAAGGCCTTTGTATCCCGGAAAGTCACGATGCGCAAAGGACCTCGGGACGGTGAAAGCTTTAGAAGCTTTCCCTTACCCATCGCATGTCCTCTTCTCCTGTGAACCTTAAAACGCTTGTTGAGCACATATGGAGTGCTGCATGTATTCCAGCACGTGTGATATCAATGTCGAGCAGAGTTTCGGACTTGCGTTGTACCATATCAAATGTGCGCATGCGAAAGGTCAGGATCATGATCCTAATCCTCCATCTCCCTTTCGAATAACAATTCCCACATTATCTTACGTTTGCACCAAGCCGGTTCAAGAGGTACTTCAACGACTTAAATATGACGCTGACCCCTTTTTCATAATGACAAGAATCACGCAGTTAACTCGAATGTCGTGACTAAATAGATAATTACGACTTACCGGAAGTGGCTCTGCATTGTTCATGGCGTGCACTGGTGTGTGGATCGTGTGGCTTGCTCTCGTAGTTGTTCAGCTTGGTTTTGGAGCGTATGGAGTGATTGTTTCGCAGTTTGCTAAAGAGAACCAGGCTGATCCTTTGGTTTTTATCCTGATTCGAGATGCAGGATGTTGCCCGGTGCTTCTGTTGGCTGCTTTTGTCTCTGAAAAGTCAGTTCAAATTCTATCATTAAGGTGAGAGTTAAATAACCTTCCAATGTTTTCTGAAAAGCGAGCTAAATTTAAAAGCTGAAATTAAATTGAATTTCAAGTACAGGAATATTTCTCTTTTCTTAACTTACTAGCTGACTTGTCTTGTGATCTCTCGATCGATCTCACGATCGAGTTTCTAGTTTGCCTCACTGAATTTGAACTTCTTGGAGATTCAGTGCATATGCTCAGTTTTGACGATCTGTCTAAGTTAAATGTTATATTTGTTTATAATATGAAACAATTTGGCAGTCACTGAAGCTGCCAGGGTCTTGTGTCATTAATACCTGGTACCGCCAGACCAAATACATTTAATTTATACCTTCGAATCCCTGATTTACTAAACGATTTGATGTGAAGAACCAAATACATGCTTGTGGCTACATGGGTCTTCCAGTAAATTTTTTCAGGACACCAGTACTTTGTTATTCTAGGTCTGTCATTATAGCGGTGAAGAAGCTCTTTAATAACGTCAGAATACAATTCACTCTGTTAATATTACGGTGGGCTAGGTCTCTTCACTGTGGGGTGTAATTATTGTATTTAATATGGCCTTATTTGATTTACAACTTGCTAGTTTGATTTTGAAAGGTGTTGGTACTTTTTTTCAAGGCATTAAGCTATTATCTGCGTTATATTTTGTCCTTTTATCACTGCATTATTGTATTCTTCAATTTCAACTTTGGAACTTACAGTTTTTGCCGTTGTAATGTCATTTCGATGGCGTGCATTTTATTCTGGTGATTACTAAATCATGTTTTACAAGGTAACATGCAATTCGGCATGACACACAGAAATGCTCTGAATATATCAATGTCATAACAGGAATGTTAATGCGTCACAATAGCTCATCTTAGTACCATGACTTCCTTTGAATACCACAATTGTGTATCTTAACGTCATAACTGAATTAGTTAACACGACAGACCTCTTTAGCTTGTAAGTTTTGTTTTTCCAGTACACTGGGTCATGTAATCTATAGAACAGTTTCTTTCAAATTTCGTATTATTTACGTGCACATCTACGCATGCGCATAATTTATGAAAAGACAAAGGGCCAAGTTCCCATGGGACCTCTACTGGGAAAACAAAAAGCTGCAAAACATACGAGCAAAGAGGTCTATTTAAAACATTTATTTTTGGCAAACTCCCGTGATCCCCGCCACGTTTTTAGAGTTCCCCACGTGACTGAATATATTGCCAGTCGGTCTCCAAATCAACTGCTGTTGTGTGAACGTTATGGACGATAGCTGGAGGAGAGGGGAAAATGATTATGATTAAAAACATGATAAGCGCGTGTGAGAAAGTGGGGGGAGGGGGGGGAGGGGGGCAGCGGATTTTTGCCATTGAAGTCCTAACGGCGCTCTTTGTAATTCCACAGGGAAATTCCTCTGTTTGCTGTTCTCGGGCTAACAGGGTTGCTTGGAGATCACTTGCTGTTTCTTCTTGGTGTTTACTACACAAACGCCAATATTACGGCAATATTTCAACCCATCATTCCTGTATGGACAGCATTGCTCGCTATTATTGTGCGAATAGAACCGTTCCCAAACCTCCGCACTTTGCGCGGCTGGGCTAAGTGTCTGGGAATTGTTCTGGCTGCAGTGGGTGCCATAGTGATGACTCTAAAAAAGTCCGCTTCAGGCAAAGCAGCAGATCACGGAACTTCTACAAGTGATGATATCCACTTTATAGGGTACATTTTTCTATTAGGGAACACCCTTTCCATGGCCGGGTACGTTCTTCTTCAGAAAAAGTTTATCTTTGATAAAGAAGAGTCTGCTTGGAAAACTAAACCTGTCACTGTTACAGCATGGCCTTTCATGTTTGGCACAATCTTCTTGGCTTTGGCATCGCTTTACTACGTCAATAAGCCCGAAAAGTTCACCTATTTCCCCGAGGAAGAAATCTACCCGATTCTCTACGCCATTTTCGTAAACTCTGGCCTCTGTTATCTTTTAATTTCCTGGTGCAACATGCAGATTTCTGCGTCACTTGTCACAGCAACCTGGCCTCTTCAGACTTTGTTCTGCGCCATCTTGTCATATTTCGTTTTAGGGGAGGTCCTGAATACGTTGGAGTATCTTGGGGGCGTGGTTATTGTTTTTGGTCTCATGGCGGTCGCTTGGTCGAATTTCGCAGAAGAAAGAAAAAGAAGAGAGGAAGAGGAATTGTTAAACGACTCATACGGCTTTGTTAAAGTATCGCAGTATGATACCTTTGCACCCGAAACATTCCAAACCGAGGAAAAAGGCAACAACGTAACCCTTGTTACACACTAAAATTGTGGATACCTTCGCATAAGCTTTCCAGGATCACAGTGCTCAGAATGGAGCGTATTCGAGTTAAAAGTCCCAATAATGATTAGTTTCAAATTGTATCATTGCTTCGAATCTAAGACTAATTTGCTCAATATATCATGACCTTAACAGCGACTTAGATTGATACTTTCATGCAGTCGTTTCAAAAGAAACCCGAAACTAAGGATCTTAACTTTGAAAAAGATATTAACAGAATAGTGGAATATGTCTTAATTTTTTAGGAGTCATAAGAACCTCAGTGAAATTGCCTTGCTATCGACTTGCTAGAATTGCTGAGGCCAAGGTAAATTGTAGACTTCGTATTGATTATTAAAAATGATTAAAACGGCCTAAAAGCGATGTTTACTGCCAGGATACAAATGTAATTTTAAAATTTAAATTACTATTCCCTTCCTTTGAAGAACCACTACAAAACTGCCAAAATTTGTTCTCAGCTTACATATTTTTTTTATTTTGTTCACGATTAGTTCCACTTATGTTACGTTTTTTAAAAGCTCCTAACCCGTGTTGTTCAAACGTTGGATAGCGCTATCCACCGGATAAATCACTATCCAGCAGCGGATAAGTATTACGATAACCAACTGCGCTACTCCATTGGCTAGAGATTTATCCAGTGGATAGCGCTACTCACCTTTTAAACAACTGGAGCCTAGTGTACAATTTTCATCGCTATCGCTAGAAAATGTATGAGAGCTAACTTGGGCCTCATCTCAAGTTACTATCGGCTAAACTAAATGATTTAAAGGATAGTGGTACCCAGTATGCAGGGGCCAGTTGTATACAAAGAAGGACTCAGCGGATCAGGCATAACTGCTGGATCCTGCTGCCGTTTGGCGTTAAAGCAAACAGTTTCTTCAGGACTGGGCTTACGTCTGACTTCAAGGTTGTACGACCGGCCCCAGGAAAGTCACGATGCGCATAAGACAGCGGGACGGTCAAAGTTATCGAGACGAGTCTTCCTCTTCCCATGATACCACAAGCTTCGCTTCTCGTCTGGCGTGAAACTTGAAGCGCCTGTGGAGGATAGATAGAGTGCTGCATGGGGTTCTTCAGCACGTATGATGCAGCGGACGTTCTTCAGGTCACGGACGTCAGAAAGGTTGCGCCCGGTCTGGATCGAGAACGGCGTTTGTGGCGCGAAAATTAAGCAATGAATGGTTTTTTGGTATAACACGAGTCACGGACGTCTTGTCTGTGTTTACTTTTGCTATTTGAAATGTCTTCACTTATAGCGTTTCGAATTTTGGAAAGATCTTTGTCGCTGAAGGATACTCGACGTACATTTTCTTTGCCCCATTCTCATATGAACATTTCATCTTTCAAATTTATTCGCCAAGCTTGAAATGTCGTCGTGTACTATTTGATTCTGTAGACACAATTTTATTTGCAGTTTCGGTAACCTCAAATGAGATTAGTTTGCTATTCATTTTCAAAGTCGGTTGCGCCAAATGTCCCAGGCTAACTAGAAAACGTTTTCAGGATATACACAATCAACCCGATGCACAAAAACACACAGTCATAACATTTTTATTTAAGCTTTATATTTCTCAACAATTCATGCAGTCGAAATTATTGGCCGTTAAAAGCTACAACAAGATAAAGCCCTTTTAAATAAGATGTGAGTTCACTTGATGATGATTCATATGGACAAGAAATCGAGTAAATCTTACGTAAATCCCGTAAATTTTGCCATCTTCTAGTTCTTCAGCCAGCTCGAGCTAGCCGAGCCAACCAGTCAAGTCCAAAAATAGGGGTCATCAGATGTTTGCAAAGTATTCAAAAAACTTTACTAGTACTAGTAAAAATATTTTTAGCAAAAAACTTTAGCACAATATGAATTCCCATCTTGTACTTCTAGCCTGCATAGCAAGCGTTTCCGCGCGAGTTCGTCGAGAAAGTTGGGACATTTTTTTTTTTGCTCCCGCTCGAACTTTCTCGCTATAACTTGACTGGAAACGCTTGCTACTCAGGCTTTGTACTTCAAAAGTGGCGTTCTGGTGTCGGCGACCTCACCTCACGGACGTAAACACATGCCACTGCACGAGTGGCTTCCGGTCGGTGTTCGTGACCTCAAAAACGTCTGCTGCTTAAGCTCTCGATCTCTAAATTATAGATTTAGCCAAGGCCAAGGCGAAGTTCCCGTTAATATATTTATAATTTACTTCAAAAACTTTTAACCATTGCAATGAAATCCACTTAGACTTGAGCCTGCAATCAGTTAAAAACTAGTAACTTGTCAGAGGCTAACTTCAAAAAAACATGTAACCTCAACGGGTCGGCAACTGAACCCACCATAAGGTAAGATAGAAACCTTGTTTTGACAGCTGTCGGTTCACCTCAACATGGATGAGCAATATCAGGTTGCAGGCTCCCATACTGAGCTCGAAAGTGTGAGGTTTCTCATTGGCTGCCCTGTTTTGCAACGGGTGGACGTCCTGACACATGGGGCGCTTTCCGTTTAGTCAAAATTTGCGGAATTTCTGGTTCGGCGGTAAATGGAACACGTTTCGTCGGCTCGTCCCACTGGAAAATTCCCAGAAAAAGTGGAAAATCTAAAAAGGTGGGCCCGTTTTCCCGGTTGGAATTTCCGAACGGAATGTCATGTTCCATTTACGTTTCTCGTGGTTTGTACCAGTTCCAGGTCCACGGTTGGGCACCGCGACCTACCGGGGCTTACGACCAAATGGAACAACGTTTTACCAATCGGAAATTCCACTTTTGCTCCCACTGAAATTTCCGGGTTTTTTTCCTAAACGGAAAGCGCCCATGACTACCATAATTTCTCGGATAGAGAGATAATCAAAGTTTCTTAGCTATGCTGGGCCCCTTCGCTATCACTGTCCATCTCTCAACGAAGACTGGTGTACATATTACAGTTTTTCGGAATGATGTCCTGCCATAACTGAACGTTAGCAGGGAGCAGGATTTTTCTAGGATAACTTTCTCTGTCCTCATCAATTTGTAGACAAAATGAATTAATTTCACCCAAATTTGCTTTTTCGCACTGACCCTGGGTTAACTTAATACAGCTTTGTAATACCTGGCCCTGTTCCTCCCATTCCCTTTAGAATAATTAATAGTTCGGTTTTACCCTTTTTTCTACTGCCTTTTTTGTCCGAATAAAAATAAGCACGCAATTGTGAGTGTCGTGACTCATCCGATATACCTCAACTTACCGGAAGTATTACGTGACACTCGATTACCCAATTCAAGATGGCGGGCAGTAGCGTGTGGATAGTATGGCTTGCCCTTGTAGTCGTTCAGCTTGGTTTTGGGGCGTATGGAGTGATTGTTTCGAAGTTTGCTAAAGAGAACCAAGCTGATCCTTTGATTTTTAGCCTGATTCGAGATGCAGGTTGTTTTCCGGTGCTTCTGTTGGCTGCTTTCGTGTCGGAGAAGACAATTCAAATTCCATCATTGAGGTGAGGGTTGAACTTTTTAATTTAATCGTACGTATCCTTTTAATGTTACCTGCCGAGATTATTTCTTTGATAATTCAAGTTAACATGTTGGAAAATTTCTCTTTTATTTCCCTGTGATTATAATTGTGACATTGAGAGCAAGGACCATTAACTTGTCAGGCGATTTTTAGCTAAACATATTGTCATATCTCGATCGAGCTTCTTAAATTTGACTCCCAGTTACAATTTAAGCCCCTGGAGATTCATTTTATATTCTCTATTTTCAGTTTCGATGATATCTCTTATTTAAATGGCGTCCATTTTTTGTTTATTGGAAGCAATTAAATTTTACGAGAATGGTCACTGAAACCGTCAGGGTCTTTGACATTTATAGCTGGTACCGGCAGCGATTACGATTGACTAGATAATCAGATCACAGGTAGCCCAAGATGAATAAAGCACAGTGGCGGATCCAGGGGAGGGGCCAGGGGGACCTGCCCCCCTCCCCCCCCTTTATTTTTAGACCAGACTGAGGCCTGAGGGGCCGAAAAAAATTTTTTTGGAGACCCTCCCCCTTATCTAAGGGTCTGGATGACCCCCCCCCCCTTCTTTTCTGAAGGTCTAGATCCGCCACTGAAGCACAATGAGATCAGGATCGAAATCCTGGAAGAGGCCTTTCCAATTCCACATCTGTCACAAGTTGGGAAGAAGCTCTGAACAACGTCACAATACGATCCACTAAGTTTAATAAAATTACGGTAGGCCAGATCTCTTTCAGATTTACAAACACACTTGGGATGTGTTTCTTCGGGAATTTTTGCTGGGGTTCGATAAACCAGTTTTGCATTTCTTCACTAAAATCCGAAAAAAGAAGCCAACCTCCGAATGGATTCTTTGCGCTTTTACGGGCATGGATCCGAGAAAAATGCACCTTGTAGGCGGTTTTCATAAGAAAGTATGGGCTCTACCATATTTCTGCCTGTCACCCCAGTATTGTGTTTACGCTTCATTTTCGACTGTACTGTGTTTTATCTTTCATGTGTGCAAGCCAAGGGCGATAATAGACCATTGTACAGTGGTGGGCTTGGCAACCCAGCTTTTGAGTGAACGTAAAGCAAAGTCGTCCCCGGGCTCTTCTCGTTTTCCAATATGGTGGCGGTGACGGTGGCGGCATATTTGATACAAACCTCCTTCCTTTTTTTATGGAAATTACGCTTAAAAATTCTAGTTAGCTCAAGAACATGATTCACAGGGTTGTATCAAAACAAGGCCAATTCCAGCCTCGTTTCTACCTGCTTGTAACTGTAAAATGGACTATTGGGCGAGAGGAAAATAAAGAGTAATGATTATAAAGTAGTGGTGGGAAGGGGGGATTTTGCTAGTGAAGTCCTGACGTTATTTTTTGTAATTCCACAGGGAACTTCCTTTGTTTATTGTTCTCGGGCTAACAGGAATGTTTGGAAATCAGTTATTATATCTTCTTGGAATTTACTACACAAACGCCAATATTGCGTCAATATTTCAGCCCGCCATTCCTGTATGGACAGCATTGCTCGCTATCATTGTGCGAATAGAACCGTTCCCAAACTTCCGCACTTTGCACGGCTGGGCTAAGTGTCTCGGAATTCTTCTGGCTGCGGTGGGTGCCATAGTAATGACTCTACAAAAGTCTTCAGGCAAAGCAGCAGATCACGGAACATCTACTAGTGATGATATCCACTTTATAGGGTACATTTTTCTGTTAGGAAACACCCTTTCCATGGCCGGGTACGTTCTTCTCCAGAAAAAGTTCATCTTTGATAAAGAAGAGTCTTGTTGGAGGACTAAACCCGTCACAGTGACAGCCTGGAGTTACATGTTTGGCACAATTTTCATGGCTTTGGCCTCACTTTACTACGTCAATAAGCCCGAAAAGTTCACCTATTTCCCCGAGGAAGAAATTTACCCCATTCTCTACGCCATTTTCGTAGCCTCTGGCCTCTGCTATCTTTTAATTTCCTGGTGCAACATGCAGATTTCTGCGTCACTTGTCACTGCAACCTGGCCTCTTCAGGTCTTGTTCTGCGCCATCCTGTCATATTTTGTTTTAGGGGAGGTCTTGAATACGTCAGAATATCTTGGGGGCGTGCTTATCGTTTTCGGCCTCATGGCTGTCGTTTGGTCAAATTTCGCCGAAGAACGAAAAAGAAAAGAGGAGGAAGAAATGTTAAACGACTCATACGGCTATGTTAAAGTATCGCAGTATGATACGTTTGTACCCGAAAAATCTCAAACCGAGGAAAAAGCAATAAACTAGTATAGATGTAACACAAATAACTGATTCGCACGAGCTCTCCAGAAACATAGCACCCAGTATGGGTGTGTATTCGACCGTAAACCATTTTAGAGCCCCAATATTGATCAGTATCAATCATTGCTTCGAATCCGCCAATTTACCATGACTTGATCGCCACCAAGACTGAGAACATAGTTCTTTCAATATAATTAAACCAAGAATAAGGGCCTGTAAAACTATAAAGGACTCAAAAACAATTAAGAAGGAAAACAGAATGTCTAGGAGTTATTCTAATAGCAACAATTTCAGAGTTGTCTTGCTAGAATTGCTAAAAATTTATTGGCAGTAAGCAAGAAAAAATAAAATTTCTTCGGATCATCAAAAACGCCCTAGACTATGAAGCGATGTTTACACTTAGGCAAGATACAGCCGGATATTTCTGCACTTAATTAAATCAAGGTTTTTTCGATAATAGGTGCGGTTGTACGGGACACTTTTACCGTCAGTGGTAAATGACCCTTTTACGGCCGGAAATTAGCGTGGTACGTGTGACCCTATGATTACACGTAAATTTTCAAATACTGCCATGATCCATGGAGATTATCACCGAAATAGCGTGAATCAGAGCGGCGAATTACCTTGGGAATTAATTCACGTGTAACCGCATGTTACCACGGTAAACTAAACCCACGATAAAACTTACCACGGCTTCGTTAACGTGGAAGTGCGTTTTACCATGGTGTGTGTAACCGCACCTATTATTTGTAACCAAATCTTCGCCATAGTTTCACTCCAATTTATCAGAGAGGTGGAGAGTTTTGTGATTAAGGGCTGAATATCCCGAGATAAATTGATGTAAACTTGAAGCTAGCAGGACAATGGAGGAAATTGCACTTTGATTTTCGTATATTAAGGTTTATAACCATTAATCCACATTCAATTGCACTCTGTTACGCCTTCACCTCTACGGGTGGAGGTGGGGACTCGTGAAATTGATGGGGATGCTCGTTGTTTGACTACTTAGGCCCAGTTCAGACGTCGTGCTTCCGCCGTCCGAACTTAATTGTAATTTGGTTCGACTGTAGCACGGCAGGAAAACAACTTTGATTCAGACGTCGTGCCAGAGTCGAACCAAATTCAGGATTTACTGATGCCTCGTAACAATCTTGTCCCAACTCCCCGTTGGAACGCAATCTCGCCGAAATACATTAATATAATTTATGAATTTTGTTTAGCGCGGCAGAAGCACGACGTTTGAATCACTGCCGTGCCAGAGCCGTGTAGCACGGCAGCGCTTGTCGAACTTAACTCAAAAGTTTGATTCAGATGCCGTGCTTCTGCCCTGCTTTTGTCGGACTTAATTCCTGAATTTAGTTCGGCACGGCAGAAGCACGACGTCTGAACCTGGGCCTTAGAGGTGCAAATTGTAGATTTTTTATCTCATCATAGTTAGTAGAGGAGTACTGGTTAGGAAAGCCGGCAAACATCAAAATTGACAACAACGGTGCTGTAGTTTATATTGGAAGCTCCCTGACAGGGCACAATCCTTTGTTTTTTTTTTTTATTCACAAATTGTAACTGAATAAATTAACGCGATGTTTCTATTGGTCAGTAAATTCAAAATGATATGAGTGCTATAAAACGTTGTGCACGGTCAGGTCCAAAGAGCTAACAGAAACATGTAACAAAAGTGTCTGAAGGGTTTCATAACCATTTCATTTTAATAACTGTCATCTCATGTTGGGTTCTCAGGACGAAAAGCTGATATTTTTCCCACACAGATATCCAGCTTAGGGTAGTGTCGAAAGAAATATATACAAAGAATTAAACCCAAATGCCGAAATTCAGTGTTTATATTTCGCGCTCTTTATTTAAATCACTACAGGTCTTACCCGTTCTAAAAATTAGTATGCTGTTTTAGTAGGGTCTCTTTAGGGCCAAATAAAGCCTGAGCCATGAGGACCCCCGTACCTTTCACACAGGGATTCCCCCTGCCCTGGCATTCTCGGAGACCCAAGGGCAGTCAGTCGGGCCGGAATAAAAATTTTTGAGACTTCACATTCCAATAGATCCAATTTTACTTTTTATAAAAATAGATTCAGTTTTACATTTGTGAAATATATCTTGAAAACTACTGACCTTCTCATGCGAATGCCAACAGAATTTACTACATCTGAATTATCCATCTAATAGACACAATGGGCCAGTTAATAAAATGAAGTCTCAACAGACCGCGACTTAAGACAAACTGTGGACCTGAATCCACATTTTTGCAAGTGCAGTACTTTGTTTTGTTTTGTTTTTTATCTGCGGTATGCCCTCTCATAAATCAAAATAGCTTTGAACGCGGTTTTGTAAAACAATGGCCGTCCATCTATACATAACTGGCCGATTGTGTTTTGCAGCCTGTCCACAGGAAAACCCGCCGCGTGAGGGAAGTGGAGAAGCACAACTGCGAAAGAAAAGTCTGAGTAGCGTGGAACATTCTAATCTAATGGAGTCAACAGTAAAGTACCTTAGAAGAAAAAAGTTCAAGGGTAATGATAACTGTGACACGGCACACATTTAACTAGAAGCAAAAGCTATAATATAAATTTCAAGAATAGTATTGTTTACAATCCCTACTTTTCCGTAAGATTGCCGATATCAATACAAACGCTAACCTTGGTTTCAAGTGCACCGAGTCTAGATTGGGGATGAGTATGAAATCTATACTTACGGTAAGCGCTCGAGCTCGAACATCTTGCAGAAAAATAGGGGACCATTAATATTCCAACAATTTCCAAGATGTTCAGAGAATTAATGGGGCTCTATTGAAAACCTGACTCTGCAATGGATGGAGTTCACAGCTTCGTTATTATCCGTAGGCTGTGACTGAATACAGCCGCCTCTTATCGCTCCCCTTCGCTGGGGACGCTCGAAACTTCCCACCGACGGAGAGCGACGAGAGGTTTCTGTAAAGAGAGAGAGTACGTGAGTCACAGTTTCGTTTGCAGGGAGACATACCGAGTGAACTAAAACCAAGAAAGGTGTTACAGCAAGAAGCCCAAAAGTGTGACCCCCTTTAATTAATTCACATTCTTTCATGCAGACATTAACCAATCAGAAGTCGAGGAAAGGTTCCAGCTGGCTTCTGATTGGATTAAATCTGCACAAAAGAATGTGTATAAACCAAAAGCGGTCACACTTCTGGGTTCCTTGCTGTAAAGACACATGGCCGATTACGGCAGACACTTGTCTCTCCCAGAAGGCTGCTCATTTAACATGACCTGATCTTATCCCCTTTCTACTCAGGACTCAGTTGTTCGAAGGCTGATTAGCAATAACCCAGGGTTAAAGTTTAATCCGCGTATCTTTATCTTTTTTTCAAAAGCATCTTCTCGGATATTTTTCTCTATTTTTTTTTCGTTCATCCAATTATCAAACGTGGACAAAACGAACTAAAATGAATTTTCTTTTCAAGCTTTCATATCTGAATTCAAATTTCACACTGACCCTGGGTTACCTTAACCTACCTTTGAACAACCCGGCCCACGGCTTTTACCTCTGAAGGAAGAAAAGACCTTGGATCTTTGTTGTTTAATTATTCCCCTGCGCTGAAATTAAACTTTCGTCAAGCCGCGGTAAACCGGCCTCTACCAATATCGCGCACGGTTTTAAGCTTTCCAATGACAACCTTTCTCGAATTAATCTGCTGTATATATATCGAATTTTTGAAAACGTTACCGCCAAATACACTTTTTTCGTCAAGCGGTTTTTTTAAGCCAATATAAAAACTGAGAGTGTAACCATTGCTTTTTTTCTATTTCCCTTTTTTCTCCGTCCTCGCTCCTTCTATTTCTTTTTTCCTTTCCTTCTCCTCTGCTAGTGTGATTTTCGAGTCTTTCCGGTGCAAAAACCTGCCTTTTGGTCCTTTTTCACTCAAATGGCTGTAAATTTCGCTAGGTCCGTTTTCAAAAAATTGGTTAGATATATACCATAGTTTAAAAGCCATGCAAGAGGTAATGCGTGACTCTGGGAATGCAACAGACAAGAGTAACAGCTGCTCTTAGTTTCATTGGTAGCATAATGGACGGATGAAAAATATAAGGAAGGGGGAAGAGAAAAAGACTGGTGTCCCCGTGGAAGGAGGACGCGCACGAGGGCAGAGAGATCTCCCTCTTCACCTCGCACCCCACATTTCGCATAGACCCGTTACGTAGCTAAGCTAGTTAATTAGGAGTTAACAGCTTTCTGAGGTCGCTAGCTTCCTTTTCTAAAGCCTTCTGTTGCTTCCACAAAACACACTGAATAATTTTTAGCCGTTCTACGGCAGGGGTAAAACCAGGTTCAAGCTGAAGGGCGAGCAAGTAATGCTGTATTGCCTCTGGAATGTTACTCTGCAAAAAAGAGAAAATAGAAATATGCTATTATAGTCATTACCATGATAATCTTAATCACTAATTTATTTTGCATTATTTTCCTGGCAGTATGCTAAGTAGTTAGAGTATCCGAATTCCAGGAGATTGACAGGCAGGATCGTTTGTAGGCAAAGTTTATCGCTCCTGGGTACATAATCTTTCTGAACCAGTTCGATAAGCAATTGATTTTCCCTCTTTCAAAAAATTAATTAACAGAGATTTTTCCTAGGAAGTCCCGGAACAATTACCTATCTACAAAGCCGAAAAATCGCAAAACGTCTATCAAAAGGCCATTTCCAAGTTGCTTTATAAAGCCTCTCTTTCAAACACAATAGTAAGTTCTTACTTAAAGGCGCTCTACCACGCTGCTTGCTATCTTATGAAGAGGGTAAAACTGTCTTCGCATCAATTGAATTGCAAAAAATATGGCCCAGTTTGTTATTGAAGACTATATTCAGGCTTTAAATATGTTAATATGTCATTTACTCCTACGGTTGGCAAGGATGGACATGGATTCAACTAGGCCAAATTGGCCCCATTTTTCCAAGTTTTAATACTATGACTTTCAGTGTTTGGGTAAAGGTACTAAGTCATCACTTCAAAACAGAATTGACCTAAAACAGCGATGTCCTCGTGACAAAGTCCTTTAAAGTCAAAACTGGTCGCCGGACCGATCATCTTTAAAATGAAACAAACTTTGTTCAAGAGCTTTCACGGAAAAGAAACAGTTCGGACAGTTCTGTTTTATAGTGGAAAAACTCCACAATAAGACTTAAACATAAGCGTATTCTTTACACGTTAACTGACTGGCGAACAAGATTAGCACCGGCTCCTAGCGGGTCCGTGCACTTGTGTAAATAAGCAGATTTCAGAAAAATAAAGATTGCTGTTGTTGTTAGCTCACCTGGGCTCCAAAAACATTACCAAGAATGAAGTGACCAAGGGCAAGACTAGGAGAAACCTGGCAAAAAACAAAAAAATAATACAACATAAAAATACAAGTGAGAGAACATGACAGGAAAACAAGTTCTAGACTTGCATATTTATTTAAGTGTAAAATAAAATCGCTTTACCAAAGGCCAAAACAAACTTCTCTTACCTCTAAGGCCTTTTTAATTACAATAACAGTATCATCAAGATGCCCTTCTCGAAGGAGTATGCTGGCCAGCCCCACATGAGCGACATCCTAGCAAGTATCACACGAAGTAAATAACAGTGTGAGGATGATGCCAACGTGGTACTCACGTGATGAGTGTGTAAATAAATGTACGTTCTGATAAAATTACAACATATACAGGCAATCCAGTGAACAAAGCAAATACATGCAACTGGAGTAAAACGCGGCAAAAGCTTACAAACAAGTCAAGATTGGTTTTCCTTTTACTCATGTTCGGTCGAAAAAGCGGTGATAGAATTTTTTCCGTTTTTGACGAGTACTAAGACCAAAGTAATTTCGAAATCATTTTGGATAATTTAGAAACCATTTTTTATTCTTATTATACGACTTGCCCTTTGCAAGATAGAGAAAAAACCCTTTCAGCAACAACAAATCCAAATGCTTTCGATTTCTGAAAATATGACAGAAGAAACATCTAGCCATTATAGACATCTTTAATGAAAATAAAGCCTTTAGTCCGGCGATATTCAGACTTGCAGTTATTAGTTTTCTTGAGAAATATTGTTGTCAATAATACTGATCTATACAGAACCACAGTAAAATCCTCATCTACACGTTTGGGTTTCAATTTACTTAATGCAACACATACCCTTGCATTGGGCGGAGAGAAGGACAGCGCCTGCCGTAAGCACTTGATAGCTTCAGCTGTATCTCCCTGGACTCGCCAGTACAATGAAGCGATATTTAATAATACCCAAGATGTTGAATTCTGTTCAAAGAAAGAAAGATTTAAAAAAGTAGAGAGAGAAAAGTACCTCACTTAAGACACCGTATTAATTTATTCGATTGAGCGCCCTACTTACTAAATGTTTGGACCTTGCGAGTGGGTCGCTTATTAAATTTTCACCATTTTCAGTAAGTAATAAGCTTATTTTGCCTCAAAACAACAAATAGTAACAAACCGTGAAGATGTACTAAAGCAGAATTTTAACTGCACCCAATTTCAATCTTGTTAGTAAGGTCAATTTGTGTGTGGGGGAGGGGGGGGGGGGGGCCGGGGTGTATGTGGCGGGGGGTGGGGTTTATTATTGTAATACCAACAAATGAATTAACAAAAGGAGAGAGAGAGAGAGAGATAGTCAATGTGTGAGTATGGGCCGATTGACATTTTGAAGGCTTGGAAACTTTTTTAAGCAGCACAGCACTTAAAAACTTATTACATTAAACTATTTTACAGAATTTTTGGTTTCCTACCGCCTTTTGTTATGTATTCAGTCTATAAAATTGTAGCTCAATAAATGACCCGAAGATTTTATCTAATTTTTCTTCCATTCTTCATCCCAATCTTATTTTATCTCATTCATAATAATAATAATATTTATCCAGGGAGCCCACTCGCTTAAGCAGTTTTCAGTGGGACTCGGCAAATAATAAATGACAAAATGACAAAATAAAGAAATAAAGGCTAATAACCTACCTAAACAAATTAAAAACTAAGAAAAGAGATACAAAACTAATTTTAAAATAGTTTTAAAATTGAACTAGGTAGTTTACAAAGTTTTTAGCTTTGCCTTACAAAAGGGGACAATGATTTGCTGTTTTTAACGTCATTCCACTTTTACAGGAGGCGCGCTCTCGCGTTAGAGCGCAGAAATGGTTCCAAAAATTGGGCCGGAAATTGCTAAAGAACCGGCCACCTGACCAGTTTAACTTCATGGTCCGGAAGGGTCCATCCTAAGGATGTGCCGATCATGTCCAGCGTAAACGATCCCCTCACTAAGCGATCATAGGGCGATCTACCCCTAGACAAGGAACGAGCAGTGAAATCGAACTCCATCCGTCGCTCTCATAAATATATCTTTGCGCGCAGTCTCTTACATGTGGGATGAATTTTTTCAAGCAAAATACAGTTTTCTGAAAATTACCTTTAAGGTTATTGAGATCATCGTAAAGGCGACAGAAAGGAAAAAATCCGGGTTAATTTTTTTAAAATTTTAACACATTGGTAATCAATTCACCACCTCACGCCATTTTCTCTAACGCGCATGCGTGATAGGCATATCTTCATCACTTCACTGTTTCTATTAGGATTTTACCATTCTGGGGAGACATTACACCAAAAAAGAAAATGAGAGGACGCGTGCATTATAAAAGACCGAAAGCTGATCACGAAAAAAGGCGAAACACAAAAAAAGTTACCTTTTGCAAAGCGTTAAAGATTCTCGTTCCCATTTCATCAATACTGTCTTTTAATGTTCTACCAACAGTAAGAAGAGTCTAGAGAAAAAAAACAAACAAACAAAAACAATTACTCATACACACTTGCACACAAGTAGACTGCGGCTTATTCGGAGTCCGCACCGGAAATTGAGTTGAAAAGGTTTTTCCTTCAAGGACCAGGTTTGTTTTTAATGTCTCTTTTCTTGGAAAACAATTATAAAATCATTACTAACAAAAGCACAGATTCCAGGCATAATTTATGCAAAACGGGCTTGCCAACGACACTATAGGGAATAGCTGCAAAATGACAACTGTATGCAGAAGGGTAAGTAAACTATTAAGATACATACAGCTGCCTGCCTTTAGTGCTACCTTTAGCGGAAAGCTAAACGACAAACATTTATTAAGGGAAAAAAACAAGAATAATCAATACTTACAGTGCGACTACTGTAACCGGTGCCACTTAGACAAAGTTGACCGATCGGATTGCAGGAAAATAACAATACATACAGCAGCTCGTAAAAAAACAATAAGTTATTCAAAGCACAAAATTTAATATTGATAGCAAACGTTTTTCAGGAAAGCAAAATGTTTCAACGGACAATGTTTTTCTATTCAAAACTTTGCATACAACACCCAGGAGACATATTTCTTTGACACAAGCTCCTATTTTGTCATCTAAAGGCAATTTCTTCGCTACTATTGCCACCCTTTGCAATAACCTGCGACCGCAAGCCAAAAATGTAACTATCGTTAATGTTTTCGCCTCCGTCACTCACTCTAAGGGTTGATTTCCAATGTCGCGTAATTTTTACGTACGTACGTGCGTAAAATTTTCGTTCGCAAATAAAACAGCTCGTAAGCGTAAAAGTTGAACCTCGCCCAACTTCTCGTTTAAACTGAGCACTTTTTATCTTGCGTCTACTTTACTTACGTCATTAAAATTTACGTGCGTTAACGTACGTAGCCATAAACGCGTCAGTGGAAATCAACCTTAACGGACCTCTCGCGAAACACGTGCTTTCTTCAGCAAGTTCAAAAGGCGACATCTGTTAGGTTTGAATTGGTTGATTTCGATCCATGTTGTTAATTTCGCCAGTTGTAGTAATTATGATTGAAGACTAACTTTCCAGGAATATATTGTTGTTTTCCTGTAATCCCATTTGTCGACTTTATCTAGGTGGCCCCGGTTATAGTAGTCGCACTGTAACATTTCAGCTTTAATTTGCTGTATTAAGGTTTGTGGAAATTCAGGGACCTTTAAAAGACCTTCATAAGGCTTTTTTGAACTCAAGGACATCATTTAAAGGGTTTCCTCTGTAATTCAAATTTTAACGACTTTGCGAGCTCTGTAAATATGTATAAGAGGTAATATGGAGACGGGGCGAACAAGGAAAAGGGTCAATAGGGAATCTATGGGAGCAGGTATTTGCATGGTAGGTAGGTAGGCAGATAGGCAGGTACTACTAAACTAATACTAAGAAGCAAGCAAAAGGGACTTTTTATTTAAATTTAGGACGAAACAAGCCTTTAAACCTGCGTGAGACCAGCTTCAGCCACTTGCTCAAGTTTACCGGCATTTGCTACTCCCTGTAAAGGAGTAAAGAACACTTATTAAGAACTCAATACATTAACCAAGCAACTACGAAAACACAAACTGCACAGAAAGCTGTATAATATATCTTTAGTAAATAAAGCCATTTTACCCAAAAACGCTTTGATATTAAACTTACCAGAGTAGAAGGGGGGGTATGTATAGCTTAAAGAGAAAAGGGGTTGGGGAGTGGAGGGGAATCATTTAGTATTGCATACCTGGAGGCTAGCAAAAGTGTGAAAGTTGTTTCTTATCTTTGCAGTACAGCGGGGCTCCTTGGCAAAGTCGTGTACGTCACTTACGAAGTCCATATGTGTCCGTACGCTAACAAAAGAAGAGGGAAAATGCGATAAAGAATAATTTGATCAGAAACCAACCATCTCCCCACACTAGGGATGTGCAAAAAAAGAAAATTCAGAATACCAGCCAAACTTTAAAACTAAGGTAAAATTGATGTTTTACTTCCCCACTAACGCAACACAACAGGGAAAAAACGTTTAACTAGACCAAATTATTAAATCGTTAATTCAAGTGTTCCACGCGTTATTATCTTCAGCACGTTAAAGATGTCTGATTTTAGACGGCAAATTGTTGCAGCGTGTGATATATATCACACACTGCAAAAATTTGCTGTCTAAAGCGAACTTTCCCCTTCTTATTTATGCCACACTTGCTGATCGTAACTACAACACATTCAAATTAAATGAGTCAGGCAAAAAGCAGAGTTTGAGACTTTTTCCTTGCATGTCCGTGTATTAAGCCTTGAGATGTCACCTAGGTGCGCTCAGCAATTTTATTAGGGAGCTTAAGCACCAACGACGGCGACGGCTAAGAAAACATCACTAACAAAGGGAATTCGCGCTGCCTCAAACTTTATTGCGCTTGTTCCATCTCGTTTAATTCGTCAAATGTTGGCAAATTTTTTTGGAGTTGAATTCTAAAGGACTCTATCAAAAATCAAGAAAAGAAAAAGAAAGTTGTTGTCTTGTGTTCGCCCGTCCTCGATAAAACGTGAAATTAGGCACTTTCACTTCGTAGTCGTGTAAAGACAGCTAAGAAATTAAATGTACAAAAACGCGTGATACCCGTGCAAAGTTGTTGTTTTGCTAATCTAAACATATTGCTTTTTGGCCGTTCTCGTTGCCGTCACCATCGTCGTTGCTTGAGCTCCGTTGTAATTTCAACCCTCACGTAATATTGCACAATGCCGGTGCTCTTTTTTTCTGGCGAACATGCTATAGTCAGTTTAATTAGGTCACCAAAAGGAGACTTTGTAAGAATTTGAGCTTGTAGCACGAGTGCATACTGAGCTTTAAGAAGGTTTGATTGATATCATTTCTAAACAATGTCTCCCTTACTTGATAGCTGAGCAAAAATTATCGATAGCAAAGTAAAAGAGTTACGCATGCGCTTTTCTTAGTAGGTCTACTTACTCGATATTCTTTGTGTCCAATGACAGCCACGCACTGAAGTGTTTGTTCCTCATAATAAGTGCATGTACTCCCTCGATGTGTTTACATTCCTCATCGCTCAATTCATGCAGTGCGCCGCTCGTACGCACATTCATGAAGTTTGTTTCAAACACATTTGAACCTGCCCCGACTTTGTGAAGGAATTCAGCTTCTCTGACTCTCTCTTTGATAGTTTGTGACGCTTTATCGTTGTGAACCGTCTTTCGTGATTTATAATCTGTCCTTTCCTCCTCCATCTGTGATTTAGAAGACGTTAATTTTTCTCCTTTCTCAAGACTTTCGTCGGCTGCAATAGTTGCATGTTTATTCTGTTTTGAATCCTTGTCACCATTAACATTAGATTTTTCATCCGCATTTCGATCAGAAGAGGAAATTTTTCCTTCGCTTTCTCCATTATCTCTACCAGATTCTTCTAAATTTTGGTCCTCTTCTTCCCAGGTTTTTTCCTCGCCTGAATCCTGATCAGAAGAAATCTTTAACTCGCTCTTATCGACCACCGTTGAATCAGAGTTTTCAGCCCCCTCGCTCTCTCCGACCTCGGCCGCTAATTCGCTTTGCTTGGAACCTTTCATTTCGCTGTTCCCAACAACATTTAAATCAGAATCCTTCTCACTTTTTCCATCGATGGTTTCGTTTCTGTCAACCTTATTCTCTTCACCATTCTCTCGCACTTTCTCTTTAAGAGAAGACTGATCGCTTGCCATATCGTTTGACGAAACTTTAGCGGAATCATCGCTTCCTGTTTGCTCCGAGTTTGTTGTGGACTTAGAAAAATCCGTTTCAGCATTAGTTTGCGGAATAGCAAACGGAGTAGTCGAACTCTGTGTTTGCACGTCTGTGTCTTGAGTCAAACACTCCATTGCCGAGGCTTCTCCTTTCCGCCTTTTCGCCCCCACACTATGACACTTCTGAGCCAAAACCAACATGTCTTGACTCTGGAGGGGAGGGGTGTGTTTAGGTCCAATGTGACGGCTCCCTTTAGCTTCTTCAAACAGTAACTCAACGTTCGAATCTTCCCGCGTGTTCTTGGACGCCATCTGATTCCATTTCAAACCCGGGCCGTTTTTGCTTATCAATAAAGATTCTCCTTTTTGCTTGGAAAACTTAGTTTCCTCTAAGAAAATTATTTCAGCATTATCTTTTCTGCGATCGGAATCACGGCTGGGCATCATAACGCCGATTTCTCCCCTTCTTCCAACACGCTGGGAGTCTCCAGCTTTCATTTGCGCGCTTTTAGTAGAAGTCGCTTTAATAGGCGTAGAGGTCGTTTTCGAGGCATCTCCGCTATCGACGCTGGAACCCGATTGTGAAGAAATTTCGTCGGCAACAACCATTGTGCTTGATGCGGATTGACGAGAACAGCTTACCGTTTTTATGATACTATTTAATCGATTAAGCGCCAATCGAGCCTCTTGGAGGTTACGCATCGTTTCTTCTTCTGAAGATATGTTAGAATTATCAGACGGAGCATTTGCCGCTTCACTGAGCGTTTCACTTGTTTTATCGAGCCTCTCAATACCAGACTTGCCGTTTTCTTGGTCCTTTGAATCACCAGATGTCTGTTGGTAGTCCACTTCCAGGTAAGGAGTGGGCTCGATAGATTGGGTCATAGGCGTGGATTTTTCCAGGGTTTTAATCTGAATTGTAGCGCTTTTGTTTTCAGCCGCTTGATATTTAGAGTCTTCCCGACTGCTGGCAGATGTCTCAGTTTCTCCACTCAGAGCTTCATTTGTTTGTTTTTCCTTTGGGCCACTGGGATCAGATTGCATGAGTAAATTCTAAGAGAGAAGGAAACCGATGTTACTATAGAACTTGTCATAAATACAAACGGGATCGGGGTCGGTACTGCCTTTAGACTGTTACGTCCCTTAAGGTACTTTTAAGATCCGCAGAGTCAGATTAAGTGAAAGTACTACTAAAGATTTATGATCACAGTGTCTATAGTAGAACTGCCTTTTTAGGGGCCGTTCATTTTTTATCAGGTATTGGGGGCGGGTAGGATTTCAGTGGGTGGTGGGGGGGGAGGGGGGCAATGCCAAGTAATATGGCGTCAAAGGGGAGGGGAACAGTCAAGAAGAAAAATATGGTGTGTACAGCGGGGGGAGGGTTAGTGAGAAAAACAACTTTTCAGGTTAGAAATATTCACTTTAAACCTACAACAGAAAGCAGCTAAAGGAACTAGCGCACGCTGTTGGTATGTTCATCGTACACCTTCGTGTTTAGTGTGAACACTCATTCAACCTCGTTACCTTTTCCAGAGGAGAAGCTCTGCTCTTGCACGTATCTTGGTATCTACTACTGTCCTGTATAAGTGCAAACATTTGTTTAAGCTGCATCTTGAATACCTCCAGAGGAAGTAATTGCTTCTTTTCCACTTCCTCACTGCTAGATTTTGTAGTTAAATCTAGTTCAGGAGTTTTAAGACTATCCATCGACTCATTAAAATTTCTGCAACAGAGATAGACAATTGTTTAGGATAACTCCTGTCAAGACAAACCCCATGGGAGCTTATACTATTATGCACTGGGAGGAAAAATACAAGGGGGCATCTACACTTCTGTGCACCTAGTGAAGTTCCCATCTTAAAAGGATGGGGGTGCCCCCTAGTGAGTATCCTAGCCGTAACTGAAAGCAAGGCTGAAGGTTATCATGGTCTTTTGTCTTATGTATATATGAAGGGAACCAAGGTGTCTACTGAAGGGGCTATGTCACATAACAAGTATAATTTTTCAAATCAGTGAGTAGTAATTTTCACACAGTTTGATTGGCTCCCATAACTCGGAATATCCTTGGCTATTCACTGTTTTGCGACCGGAGCCAAGATGGCGTCTCGCGCGTGCTGAGACATTTTCGGAAGACGAAATTTGAGCGATAAATGAAGCAGTCGTACAAACAAATACCACGAAAGCGACAGCCTTTGGCTTGTCGGTATTTACTGGTACGTGGAAAATTATTTTCATGCTGAGTTTGCAACAAAATCGTAAAAATGTTAAGAATATCCCCTAAATGTTTGCAAACTGGAAACAAAGTTCCTACCAAGTGGCGTTTTTAATTTACGAAAAGGTACTTTTTTCATTTTTATCCAACTGATGTGGTAAATGCCAAAACAACTATCCCCCTATGGTCGGTGAACAGCACTAGATATATACATCGACGCTTCGTGTCTCTGTATACAGCTATTTCGAGAAAGGTTGTCGGAAAAGTGCACGTGACAATCCCGAAAGGTATTGTGGGTAGTTTTGAGTTCACTTTTCTTCAAAGAAATTTGAACAAATGGCACGAGAGGCCATTGGAGTATGTTTGCGAGAGTTAAAGGAAAGCAACAAAAGTAGGTTCGACAGCTACAATGTCAGGAACAGTGTATTGATCATATCCCATGTTACCTTTCGGGATTGTCGCGTGCACTTTTTTTCTGACAGCCTTTCTCGAAATAGCTGTATATCCATCACTATTCACCTCCCCTTCGGGGGATAGTTGTATACTATTTGCTATTGTTTTAAAAAGCTGTGGTAAAACGAGTCTTTGCATCAATTGAATTCTATAGAAAATGGTGCAGTTTTGTTATTTACTAAGACTATATATTATTTAGGTATTGAGACTGTGTCATGTTGTGTGTTGCTACAAAAGTTTATATTTTTGAAGTTTATCTTCTTAGCGCAGATGTACAAGATTATCCTATCTATTAGATCATTTGTGTCAATTTTAAATCAAATGTAACTCGTGAGTGACAACTACATGTAATTCATTTAGGTTAGTTTTGGGCTGTATTTAAATTTTCCTTCTTAATTTTTAGTTTCAATTATAGTTTGCAATTTAATTAGGTTAGTTTTGGGCCGCATTTTATTTTTACTTCTTAATTTTTAGTATGTTTCATATTGGAGAATAATCTTTGTATGGGAATTTAGTTCCCCCCAATTATTCTCCAGTCATGCACTTTTTATATTTTCTGTAATTTATTTACTTGTATTTAGCATGACAAAGTATTATTAAACTTAAACTTAAACTTAAAGGTGAGGATGGATATGGATTTAAACTTGGCAAATTTTTTGAAGTTTTAATGGTGTGCCTGAAAAAATAATAAACAAATTACCAAAAAATATCACGTTAAGTGCTTGCTAATGCAATTTATGTTGTATCTTCTTCAACACTCTACATGAGCATTTTTTTGTGTGTGTATGGGTAAATACACTAAGTTATGACTTATGCTTGCACAGAATAGACCAAAGACAGCAATATCTTTGTAACATAGCCGCTTTAAAACACTTAAAGTGACCGCCACTCTTGCTTTCCACTCAAAGCGACGTTGCTCAACAGACAACTGTAAATTGGAATGCAGATTGATCGTCAAAGCGACCACCTTCCCCTGTAAGCAACGTCTTAATCTTTGCATTTTGGGTGGTTGCTTACAGGAGGGACAACCATAATATAACCTGTGAGACATTATTTTATGGTACATATATGTAACATGGTACATTGTAGGCACATATTCATTAAAAGAATGTGAAGAAAACACTTACAAATGCTGCTGCTGTAAAAGATCCTTTAGCGTCAGCTCACACCTCACTGCTTTCACCCGCTCACACAAAGATTCTGTGTCTGGTGACATCACTAACATGAATCTGTAGCTCAGATCTGCCATTTCATACATCTTTAGTGACTGTTGAGAGAGAAAATTATGAACTTAAGTGGCAAAAAGAACAAAATGATACTTGCAAGAATTAAAAAGTTACACATTCCAATATTACAGTATTAGCTTCTTAAGGTTGGTTACTGAACCCCATAAATGGAATTTTCAATTTCTGGCATTTGACATTCAAAATTGATTACTGTAAACTGCCACTGTTCTTTGTTTGCAGGTACATTTGTATATGAGCCTATAACTAGGGGGCTTATAACTGGGGTGGGGCTTATAGCAGCAGTTTATGTATGCATCATGACTGGCTCAGCAAAACCTTAAAGCAAAATCTATGCACTCTGCATTTTCTGACATGAGTAACCAAGGACTTGGTGTCTATAAAACACCATAACAGAAATAATATCATTCTTTGTATTTCAAAGCCATGGAACTAGTTTAGTGTTTAAAACTAATCCATCTGGGTTATCAGTACTTATTCTGGATGCGGCTGACAAGTACTATTTACAGTCACGAAACTCACAGCATAGATATTTCCAAGGAGAAAATGATACAATGAAAGCTCATTGCCAGTGTCCATGGCTGCATGAAGCAAAATTAGTGATTCATGGCTGTAATTTGCATGGTACAGCACTGCTGCAAGGCTCACTAATGCCTGGTCCTTATGCTCCCTAAAAATAAATGATATTTAGTTTAGATTTTATATAGCTGCAAAGAGTAAAAGTGTTTTATAGGGTTTTATTGGTCTTTATATGATAAAAATAATGTAAAATTACATGGGTGCCTGGAGAACACAAAATTTCTCTTTGAGTGTTCAAAAATATCTCACTTGTTTGCCAAGCTCACTTGCGAAATATTTTTCAACACTCCAAAGAGAAATGTTGTATCTCCAAGCGACCATGTAATATCCTCTAGATACACTACTGCTACCAGAAGTTTATTACCTAGGGGAAAAATACAAAGCTTGACGAAGGCATTCTATAGCCTCTAAACCATTGCCTTTGATTCTCCAATAATAAGCTGCAAGATTAAGTAAAACCCAGGAACTGGAATTCTGCATGAAAAAAAAAACCATAAAAATAAATTTTGTGGTTAAATCAAACCATTAGACAATATTTAAATAATCAATATTGTTGTACATTGTTTACATTAAAGTACAGTTAAAAACCTGAATCTTCAGCAGAAAGACTGAGAGGGCACACTGCCTCTATCTTATTTATGCTCATAATTTTTTTGCATCTACGTACAGTGGAAATCCACCCTGCTTAAAGAGTTGGTCATTTAAGAGAGTTTGAAACAAGAAGACTGTGGTTTGCCAAGAAAAAAAGGGAAAAAGGCCAAATTATATAACTGTGAATGCTCATTTCCTGACCTTGTTGTTTCAACAAATTAGATGGAAAAACAATTCCTTTCACTATGTCTTTGAAGACACTAGGCAATTTGTTGATGAAGACTACAAAAATGAGACAGTTAAAGCTTTTTTGCTTTGTAAATCTTAGATACCTTGTCAGTAAAAAGAGTTTTTTCATGAAAAATGCCTTTCATAGCAGAGGGACAGTGTAGCTGTTGTAGATGTATAATATGTACAGTTTTGGTGTTTTGTGATAAAGGAAAACAGATGAGTAGATGTGATATAACTACCACAAAATTATCTTGAAGAAGTATAAATTTTTACAACTAATGATCATAAGAAAGTAATATTTAATTAATATTTAACATAATTTTAATATTTTAACAGACCTGCTCCATTGCCACACTGACATGACCACCTAGATCTTCTGCAGTCTTAAAGTACGAGGACAATGATGCCAACAGTGTTGGCTCAACACTGGCATTTAACTGATGTTTACTATTAACACCCTCAAGATGGTCATAACTGTATATGACAGTTGGCAGTTCATTTCTGCAATAGGGAGGTTCAAAGTGGGAAGGCAATGGCTGACACAAGCTGACATGGTCTGGAATGCTGGAAATAAAAACAAATAATGAAAAAAATCATATTAATAATATTTTAAAATACTGTCACCTGGCAGATGCATAATGTGGCTGAATCAAATTTACTTTAGGCTAATTTCAACTCGAGACAATTAATTTTGACTAGATGTCTTTCACAAGTAAAAGTGATTTACAGGGGCACACTTAGGGGCCATTCAATTTCGGTTTTTACAGCTTTTGGCTTTTTGTACTCTTATTGCTTGTGCTTGTACCTGTAAGTGTGTTTTGTTCCCTACCCTTCGACTGGTTAACTCTGTAATAATGCCTAGGTGGATGTCACCCATAGGTTGGTTACAGCTGTATGCATTACTCTGGCTATACTAGCATTTTGGGCACCTAACCCTTTGCTCTTTGTAATGCTCAATGTACCACCACTGTGTATTTTTACACCGAACTACAGTCAGTTAAAACCTCTTATTCTAGAAACCAGTATCAAACAAACTCTTCTTATATGTGGAAAATTTGATAATTTGTCATTATTGATTGACATTTTGTCAACCCAATCCACGAGTTAGAGATTTTGTTCAGAGGAATGAAGGAGCATTCTATTAACTAAGGAAGGTTGGATGGTACTATAGATACATTAAACAGTTGAGAAAATTAGTAAGTTTTGGATCAGTTCAATCTCTGCTGGTGATTACTAAAAACCAAAGGCTTAGTTGACTTATTATAATCAGATACATGAATACTAGACAATAACATTCCATCTCAATAAAAATTGGCTGAAGGAAAAGTAAAAAAAAAAAAATTCAATAAATGAGTCTGTCATGTATCAACTGTTTATACTAGTCCTCCAGCCCCTGAGAAGGGAGTTGATGAAAGACCAGAAAACCCAGATCACAAGGAGTGCTGCCAGGTCCTATGACTATTAGTAAAGAGCTGGACTTCTCCCAGGGGTTGCATGTCAGAGATGGGAAAACAAAACCTTAATATAACACATCACAAATTAATTATTATTACTTAATGTCATTCGTGGTAAAAGGATTTGTCATGTCCAAATACAACTTAAACTCTGAGATGTGTTTCCCGGCATCTAAACAATCTGGATCCTCTTTGTAGAAAGTTTGTTGGATCTCAGCTCGTTCCCTCTCTCTTGCTTCTATAACCTTCCTTTTTTCTTCGAGATATTCTTCTCGTAAAATTTTAAGTCTGTCATATGCACTCTGCTGATGAATGAAGGTGACCAAGTCATATGGACTTTTGAGATTAAAGATGGAGTCAGCCTAAAAAGAAAAAGGGCAAACATACAAAAAATTGTTATCCATCGTTAAGGCCTGAAACTATAAAATGGAAACTGAGGCCCTTAAGGCATCTGCACTGGCAAATTTTGCACATTTTTGCATCATTTTTAATAGTAAGTTATTTTATAGACAATATCTATATATATCACGATGGACAGTATTTCTCAGTTCTTGAGGAACTAAAATATATCAAAATAAACTATACTATGTCTCCCAAAAGGTGTTAATTTAACTACCCCCTAGGGTGGTACAGAAAGAGAAAAATCAAAATTTCAAAAGAATCCTTAGAGTTATCGTTAAAAAAGAAATGTAACACAGATAAGGACATTTTAATAGAATAATCCTGTGTTCGACCATGACACAGCTTGAATTAATCCACCTTCTATGGCACAATGTGCTATTTTGTAGTTTGATCTACATTTTGACATCAATAACACAGCTGTACGGCAATTCTAATCTTTGGCCGAACACAGATCTCTTCAGTAACATGCTCTTTGTGTATTTGCCAAATTTCACAAACAAATAATAATCCATTCTGTTCCTCCAAAAAACTGGTCCCCGTAAGTCAAGGTAAATCGGTTACACGGTAATTAACGCTTTTGCAGTGTAAAAAGGCTTATTTTCTTCTCAAATCAGCTGTTTTTCCTCGCTAATTACAGACCTTATTGCCCCCAAATTTGGAATCACCAATGTGTAAAATGCTCGTGGAAGCCTAAAAAATGTCAAATAACCTGTCTATAGCCCCCTTCAATTTTGATACGGAACTGGTTGCTAGGTGTGACACACTTCCGGAAGATGCATTACACAGTGTCAGCTTTAATTCAATGAGGCACGCCGAAGTATGAAGATTGAAGAAGAGTGTTATTCAAAATTGAAACTGAATTGCTTCTGTAAAGAGAAAGGAATCAGCAGAAAAGCAAACCAGAGGATTAAGGCCAAGAAAACGTTTTACTCTCCCTGCAAAATTGTTAAAATAATGCTACCTTTATTACATCAGGTGAGAAGACACGCTGATGTAATATCAATTTCATACAATAAGTCCTGGAAAACGGAGTATATTTCAAGAACATAACGAATTTTGACTAGAAGCAAGTAATATTAGTCATCACAGCTTAAACAGAATGAAGAAGAATTAAGTTGGACATACAGCGGCTGTGGTTTGCAAATGAATCAAGGAACCAGATATACATATTACATCACCTGAACTTACTGAAGAAAGATTTTGAGGGCAAAATAAAATGTTGAAAATTTGCCGGTGCAGATACCTTAAGCTGTTAATGACCAGCTTTATCATGACTTAAAGAAACAAAATGGAAAACTCTTTGAGATTTAAACATGAGACCTCTGCCAGCCACTGATTGAACTGTACCTGAGAAGATGGTGAATTAAATTTGTATATTAAATTTAAAGATAGTTCCATCATTACATGAAAATTTATGTTTGGAACACCAGAGAATATTTTACCTGTCAATTTCACAGAAAAAGTGTTTACTACAATATAACATGTATTTCATTGTCTGCAATTCAAGTTTCAAAGGGACTGATACTGATAGTTGATATATTAGCTAATACACTCTATTATTCATTCAAAATATTTCCCCAATTCTGATTGGCTAAAAGCACACGCATAATTCACGAAAACCAGTTACTATAGCCTGTTCCAAGCGTTCAGATAGTGGAAAGCGGTGCAGGGTAAAGAAAGTGATGAAAAGTAGAGGGGGACTGGGGAGAGAGGTGCGGGAACGCTTGTAAGAATTTTTAACAAAAGTGCATTCCGGTAGACCAGATCCTGGTATACCCTCTGATTGGTTCATTTTGACAGTTTTTGTCAACAGTGAAGCGTCTTCGATCACAGCAAGAAATGCGATGTGGCCGTTATGACAGACTCTACGTGCCGTCACAAACTCGCAACAAACACAGCGCTGAGTGACTTTCCAAACGTGGAGGCTAAAAGCGAAGAGCAAAGAAACTGTTTAAAACACGTAGTCGATAGGATAGATGTCTTAGCAATTTCTCACCGACTGGCTTTGGAAAAACTCTTATTTTCCAGCTTTTTCCTCGAATAAAGCGTGCGTTGGAATGAAGGCAGGATAGAATGCTATTTACGATTGTTGTGGTAACTCCGTTGATTACCATCATCCGGTCATGGAAGACCAAGTGGAATATTTGAACAAAATTGGAGTAGCGGTGGCAATGATGGGAGAAGATGTGGATGAAGCCGTTAAAAGTGGAAGCTGTGAAATTGTTTACTGAAGTGCCAAATCGTGGTTGTCTAATGAATGGACAAAAGGACTTCAAAAAGGAGAGCTTGGAAAGCAACTTGCAGCTATCACTATTGAAGAGGTCCACTCAATCACCGAATAGTAAATTTTCCCTTCAATTGTTGTGCATTTTCATTGCTTGAGTTAACGACCTGTATTGAAACGGCTTTCTATCGAAATGAGCAATATTTGTTTGTCACTTGATTCATAATTTTTTGTCACGTACACGCTGAAATCATGTTTTAAAGCCGTAAATAAATTCATTATACATGAATACTTCTCCCGCCTTCTATTGTCTGAAAGTCTTACATTGGGTTTTTAGTAAGATTATGTATACATAATATTAATTTTTGATCTGACAAACTTCGATTTATTCGCAAGAAAAATAATATTAAAATGCATCGGGCTGTAACACCAGTTTTGACTGACAAGTGAAGACCACCTACAGCTGATGCGGTCTGACTGGGCGGAAGAGTCTATTTAAAACAAATCTAACAGGCGTTCCCTCTCTCACCTCTCCTCCTCCCTCGCTTTTATTTTTCCGCGCTCCTTTTTACTTCGCACCGCTCCCCACTATCTGAACGCCTGGAACAGGCTACAGTTACTAATGACCAAATTTGGAAGAATTTTGTGTTTAATGAGGAAATGACGTCAAAAATGCAGCCCTCTACAGGTTAATGCACCGTTAACCGAGAAGATCTGGGGATGAGATTGAGTTATTTTTGTTGTAAAAACTAAAATCACAGACACTTCACTCGTTTCAAGAGTAAGAAGTACAGCTGGAACTAGGCGAAATAATGGCTAAAAACATAGCAAAAACAGCAAGAAGACAACTCGGAGGGCGACATCTGCTATTTTGGAAAATATTTGCAGAGTTGGACAAACCAACTATCGAAGATAAACTTAACATCGATGCAGGTAAGCTTGTTTTAGCTATGTTTTTACACTATGAATTATTTTGAATGAATAATAAAACAATTATTGAATTCGGCTTTCGTATCATATGAAGAATTATGGAGATCTTGGAGGGTGTTATCTGCCTCCGCCTACGGCCTCGACGGATAACACCCTCCTTGATCTCCATAATTCTTCATAAGATACTCAGCCTCATTCATTAAGTAATTAAGTCCATAAGTAATAACAGTTATTTAACAATTATTGTTAAATAACTGTTATTACTTATGGACTTAATTACCACTTATACGTGTACACTCTAGGTCTAACAGCTTCGTGGCTACTGACACAAATTTCCATTTTTCAAAATCTGTTCTCAGGTGATTAAACCAGTAAAATGTAGGTTAGCAGGCTAAAAGCTAACCCTAATAGGTTGAATACTAGATAAACCTGAGAACAGATTTTGCCCACAACAGCTATATTAGTCCTCAGATTGAGTTCTGCACAAACTCAGCATCAAAAGCTAGTTTTCTTTATAACAGCAACAGAGTATTGTCACATCTTTGTGTACCACGGCATCTCAGATTTTACTGTTGCTCAGTTCTGACTAGCATTGGGAATGACAGGAATGTTCAGGAAACGGCGATATTCCTGACGGTCTGAGATTTCTCCGACAATATGGAACCAAGCCAAATTATTACTTTAGACTCGTAATTGTGTAGACTTTTCTTGTGTGGTAGAAATTCAATCGTAGGGTCTACTTCACTTAATGTATTGTTTGTAAACTTCCGCCAGTGCTAATTATAAATTCTAGAATA